TAGAAAAATTTTGAGTCTGGCCCTCACCGATACACCCTCCCTACCCAAGGGGCAGCACTAAAAGAGGTATTTCAAATGCCACTGCTTGCAACTGGATAGCACGATGGCCAATCAGAGCAAAAAACAAGGTGACGTATTCATTGCACTAAGCCCCATTTGTTTGCCGACCAGTGGGGCTAACTGATATATTATGCTTTTGCTGTATCCTGTCAGCAAAACGGCAAGAACATCCTTCCTGGAAATGAAGGCTTCTAGGGCAGTCTTCTGTTCCTTTCTCAAGGAAAAAGATAAGTGTAGTTGGCTTAGCGTGTCTTCCAAATCTAAATTGAATTGACGCGGTCCTTTGGCAGCTGCCATCTTGGCTGTTTACTTTTAGACTCTTTCGGCGCAGCGCTGTCGTCATCATGTTACGCCCGCTCAGAGCCCACCTCTGTCAGATAGAGTGATCTGATTGGTCCGATTTGCGATTCAAAGTGCTCTGCTCATTGGGACCAGATTCCCGTGCAGTGCAAATTTGAATTTGCTAGGGGCGGGGCACCTGGATTTCCAGGTTAGCTGTTTACCATTTTCAGCCAAAGTTGTGTTTACTATTTGCAGCACTGTTTTTCCGTAGCACTCTTAAACTGTCTTTCTCCCTCACCAGAGTCTGTCAGGCTGATGAATGGAACCACTCTGTGTTCAGGCAGAGTGGAGCTCAAAGCTGAACAGTCATGGTCCTCAGTCTGTGAAGGTGATTTTGACTGGCAGGATGCAGAGGTGGTATGTAGAGAGCTTGGCTGCGGGGCCCCTTTAAAACTCCAGAAGGAACGCTATGAAAATATGAGTGCTCTTGAGTTGACAAAAGAGTTCCAGTGCAGAGGAAATGAGTCCACTCTCCTGGACTGTGAAAGCTAAGAGTCCGCTAGAAACACCTGCTCACCTGTGAGGCTCAACTGCTCAGGTAAAGAAGACGCTACAGCTTTGATGTGCTCTTTTGTAATGAATGTTACTTAACTACTGTCAGTAATTATTGTTTTGGAAAGAAATCTCATCACAACAGTGTGGAACCTATCACATCCGGCTCCCACAGCAAGCTTCCCTGGGCATATATATATATATATCATATAATGTTCATCAGCGGGTGGAGGTCACCCAGTTGTCATGCAACTGTAGATTTTAAAATTTCCGTTTTTCCTAAGCACCTAAAGGACTTCTTATTGATGTTAGCCTAAAAACTGAGGTTTAAAACGTATTTCTGACTGTGGAAAAAGCAGATGACAAAATAGGCTCACCACAAGATCATATTACATGAAAAAGAAGTCTTACAATCTTAACATCACTATCTCAGTTTAGCACATTAGACTGCTAACACATCTGTTAATTTGCACTAAACACAAAGTACACTATGTCATTAGCAGGTTTTGGACAAACTAAAATTTTGACCAGTTGATGGCACAAAATGAAAAGTGATGATAAATGTTTGTATCAAATGTCAGGGGATCACCTAAGACATTAAGAATCATCTTTTGGGCATCATTGATATCTGTACCAAATTTCAAGGCATTAAAGTTATTGATATACTGCAGTCTGGACCATAGTGGTGGACAGGCCATCCACAGCCATGTCACTCTATGGCTGGCTTATGTTGAAAATGTAAACAATCGGGCAAACCCTATCTGCTGATGAAGGTCATGTTGATGTACTGAAAAGCTCTTAAAAGGCCAGTAAATGGACTTTTGCAGTTAAGATTGTTTTCCTGGTCCAGAATTAATTTGAACTTCAGTTGTTTTCTTGTCTCTGCTCAGAGCCTGATAATGTCCGGTTGGTGGGTGGAGGCAGTCGCTGCGCTGGAAGACTGGAAATGAAACTTCATGATGATTGGAAACCATTGGATGGCTTGGAGGTGAACCTGGAGTCAGCAGCTTTAGTGTGTAGAAAACTGAAATGTGGTTTTGCCATTTCAGCTGCAATGAAGTCTTCTGTCCTGACACAAGCGTGGGGGATCGATTCCTCCAGAGTTCAGTCTGGATCTGTGCTAAGGGAGGACGTATCAACAAGGCCCTGGCACTCTTTAACCTACCTGGAGATCAGCTGCTCAGGTAACACTCTCAGTGACATCAGACATGACGGTAATCTCAACTGACAGAGGTTTAGTGTAACTCACTGTAAAGTTATCCAGGACGTTATTGGTCATTATTGCTATTGGTTATTATTTGCCCCAGCGTTCCAGTGTCTTTGTCTCAGTCATAGGACAATGACTGGAGATCTGCTCCTTCAACCATCTCCCCTTGTCTTTACAGATCTGCTGTTCCAGCCGATGATCTCCATCACTCCCTCCACCGATGTGGTTAATGAGTTCTCCAACTTCACCATCAGCTGCTCCATTAAACCACAGTACCCAGGAGGCTCTTTCCAGCTCACCTTCACCACCTCCAACACAAAACACAGCTACACCCAGCAGGCTGTAAATCACACAGCCTACTTCCTGTTTCCTGCTGCAAACCAGAGCCACCAAGGGAGCTACAGCTGTGTTTATCACATCTATGTTAGCTCTCAGAAATTCTCCTCAGAGAGCCGGCCACTTCATCTCAGTATCTTAGGTAACATAAAGGAAAGCATACGGCTGAATCAGACAGGAAAATGATCTAAAATGACAAAAACATGGCATGGAGAACTTGTAATCAGTTGTTTCTAGGTCACATTTTAAACCTAACCAATAATAATTAGTTATTTCTTAAAAGAAAAAATACTTACCTACAGATAATTATTTAAAATGAGTAAGGCAGCTGTAAACTAATACAAAACTACTACAGTTTTGTGATATTAGAGATTTAATGCATCTTATTTTAAGTGAAGGCTCTTGTGCTCATGATATTCTATGATTTGATGTGATTGCTTTGAATCTGTTTCAGCCTCTCCAATAGTTTTCTTCGCAAGACTTGCAGGCCTGCTGCTGACTTTGATATTGTGCATATCTGCCATTTATTACAGCAATAAGGCACGTACACACGTTTGCTCAAGAGAGGTTTGGGTGGTGTATTTAGTCTGTGTACAGTGTATGACTGATGCAGTAACTTACTGGTGTCTACTGCCATGTCTCTCCAGGCTGCCATGTCTCTCCAGGCTGGGGAGCAGGAATCAGCAGGCCAACAGAACGCTGAGCTTGAATATTATAACCTTGGTGCTTCCAGAGTTGAAGGTGGGCCAAATGAAGAGGCTGAGGACGAAGGAACAGATCTCTGAGGAGCTAATCTTGTGTTCAGCTGCAACTGTTTATTTAATCTTAAAGCTATTATAGAAAAAGCATGTATTTAAGTTTACATATGTAAGAGACCAGCTTCTGTTCACACCTGAGTCACTAGCAGCGTTTAAAAATTTACTCTGCTTCATTACTTACCATAAAAAAGATTTTAGAGAATGAATTTCAGCATAAGGGAGTCCAAGTCATTGTTTGCAAGTCACAATTAAGTGCCAGGTCTTGGCATTCAAGCCCTGAGTCCTCAACTTTGAGTTTTGAGTCCTAAACAAGTCATAATACACTCTTCACCGAATGTAACGCCATTTTAACAGAAGACTCAAAAATCTTAAACGATTTTTAAAGTTTGTATTCATTTGTTAGAACAATGTTGTTACAAGTGCAACTGAAATAAACCATAAAAAGCAATACACTTTCATAGCATATAACCCTATTAACCAGTACCACGACAGAGTAAATTTTGTTTCTGTCCTGTCTTGTTGTATAATGTAAATATAAATGCTGTAAAATAATAAACAGAGTACTTGGATGTTGTATGCGACATCGCCAACCTTGACGTACTTTATATGCCTCCACACCGGTGATAGCCAAGGCTGGAGGCATTTTATTTTCGGGTTGTCTGTCCATCCATCCGTCCATAAGTCCATCTGTCCCATTCTTGTGAGTGGGATATCTCAAGAACACCTTGAGGAGATATCTTCAGATTTTGCACAGATGTCCAATTGGACTCACCAATAAACTGATTAGATTTTGGTGGTCATAGGTCAAAGGTCAATGTCACTGTAACCTGGTTTGCCTCACATTTGTGAATGCAATCCCTCAACCTTGAGGGAATATTTTCAAACGTGGCACCAACATCTACTTGAACTCAATAATGAACTAATTATGTTTCAGTGGTCAGAGGTCAAGGTCACTGTGACCTCTCCATCTCATTCTCATGAACTTGATAATTTAATAGCACCTTGAGAGAATTCTTTCCAATCTGTCACAAATGTCAACTTTGAGTCAAGGAGAAACTGATCAAAATTTGTTGGTCAAAGTTCAAGGTCACTGTGAGCTTGCGTCTGTCTCATTCTCGTGAATGCGATACTGTATCTCAAGAACACATGGAGGGAATTTCTTAAAATTTGGCAAAGATGTCTCTCTGGGCTTAACAATAAACTGATTTGAATTTGGTGGTCAGAGGTTAAGATCACTGTGTCTTTGCACCTGTCCCATTCTTGTGAACTTGATATCTCATAAAGGCCTTGAGGGAATTTCCTCAAATTTGGCACAAACATCCACTTGGACTCAAGAATCAACTGATTAGAATTTGGTGACTGCTGATCAAAAGTCAAGGTCATTGTGACCTCATGACTTATATGACTATGACCAAATTTGTGTGTAATAGGACAAAGTGGTGAAATTTTATATCCAAGAGGTCAACTTCACTGTGACATCATAATGTAATGCAAAAACTTACTTAACGTCATATCTCAGGAACAGAAGAGGAGACATTTGGTCAGATACTGAATCACAAATCTTGGGTGTCCACCTTAAAACTGTGTTGATTGTATAGATCATCTGTGCTGCCAGGTTGAAGATGTGTGTGAAGCATCCACGTTTTCATGGATATGGATTTAAACTGTAACTTGTATCGGTCTTTAATTTAAGGTGCAACACAAATACGTCTGTTTGCCAGCCCACAATTGTAAATAATTTGCTCTTAATGATTTGCCTGATTAAATACGGATTACACTGTAAAGAAAATAGACCAACTCACTTGTAATAAGATGACTTGAATTTTATTTTACTTGTTTTTTCTTTTTCACACATTTAGACATTGGTTACCAGACAAAAGTGATCTGAATTCTCTTAAAATATTACTGCACTGGTAAATCAGCGTCTTGTTCCACCCTGAAGGCCATAGTCCTGCTGACGCCTGCAAATGTTCACAAAGCTTCACAAAATAATTAGCTCGTCATTCACTGTGGATACATCAGACCAATAACAGCTGACACATCTCAGTCACATATTATACCTGCAACAGTCTTCTACTGTATGACTACATCCTCCTCATTATGACAAGTTATATTTTGACCATAATAATAATTAGGAGATTTCCCTGTTGATCACAGTCCCAATCATCAATATATTTTGAACAAACTATCATTTTAAAGTTCCAAACACCTTCTCAAAACCATGTCTGTCCACCACATGTCCAAAACGAGTGGAGAAATACATTGTCTGTGGACTGCTGTATCTCTTCAATTTCAATATAGTCTCATTTAAAGAGTCCCCTGTATCCCCGATGGTCATAACATCAGACACAGGCAGGTAAATATCATGACGCCTGCCCCAGAAGGTGAGGTGGGACACTTTGAGTGTGGTTTGGGACGGGTCCAGGTACATTATTCCCACAACCCTCCTGAGGAAGTGACTGGCAGTGTACAGCATGACACCAGCGAACAGCGCTATCCCTGTTGTGTAGCTGACAAGGAAGAAGGAGACATCTCCCTGTAGGTAGAAGAAATACACTGGGGGAAGGATGACCCCGGTGATTGCAGTTTGGAGCAGTTTGAGCCTGGACACGGCTCTGAGGATCTTAATGTGCGGCAGCTTGTAAATCATGGTGTACTTCTCTGTGGACAAGTCCGAATATCTGACCAGGGCTGTGATTCTGGGTATAAGGGCTCCATGGAAGCTGTGCTGGATGGGCGTGTGACCTGGCGAATGTGGCTGCACACCATAAAGTGTTCGACCTGTGAGTAGACATGACCCTCTACTACAGGACAGGATGTGGGAGGTTAACCTGCGCAGCAGCACTGTCCTGATCTGTAGAAAAATAACAGATACATTTGAGACTTAACTAGAACCAAAACAACTTGTAGATTTTTTGAAACTTTTGAAAATAGACTGTCATTTTCAATCTCTGGTTTTAGCATCAAGCATGAACATTTGCTGTTTTTTTTTAGTCTTCCAGCATAGCAAAGTGAAGACATCACCTTGGGTTCTGAGAAATTGTGACTGGCAACGTTTACTATTTTCTGACATTTTACAGACCTAATGACTATGCCAGGAAATAATCAGCGGACTGATTAACAATGAAAATAAAGAAAAAATAAATTATACAAAGTAATGCAATAAAAACTATCTTTATTGTCCACCATAGGTGGAAAATATGTCTTCTTAAGCTCACCATTATTTGACAACATTACAAAAAGCAGACAATTTACATGCTTGTCAGTAAGAAAAGCATGTAAAGTCATTACAAAACCCTTAAACAAATTAGATCAAGTCATTGTCTGTCTGTGGTTTAAAACTCATCAGTCACTTTGCTGAATTGAGGATACTGATGGCACTTGGGATGAAGGACTTCTTAAATACATTTTTAGGTGCCAAAGGATGGCGCCTCCCAGAGCTCAAGAGCTCAAACTGGCTAAAGAGAGGATGGGAGCTAACTGCCAAGATGCTCTTCGCTTTCCTCCTTGTCCATCCTGTAAAGAGGTGGGTCAAGGGCTTTTGGGGCTTGCCAACTATTTTACTTGCCATAGTAGTAATCCTAGAGAGTTTATTGTTGGATGTAGAGTTAAAGTGACCGTACCAGACAGGTAGGTGACAAGTTAAAACACTTAACCATAGTTTTGTACACTAATTCCAAAATCTGCTGAATAACACCAGGCCAGAGTTTTCTAAGAAGATACAGTCGCTGTCCACATCCATTGAAAATATATCAGTATTTCCAGAGAAGCTCAAGTCTCGATTACTGTTAAACCCCAACAACAACATAAAAGTGTGTAAGGCTGTTCCCTCCCCGGTCCCCAAATCAGACAGCTCACCACAGGAATTTCAGTACAAAGTGAAGGTATTTATTACTGTGAGAAATTAACTAAGGGCAAAAAATAATTCAGGGTGGATTAAGGCTAAAACAACAAACAAAACTACTATCTAAACAGTGAACATACTGACTACACCTATGTGACAAAAATTAACAACAAAAAAAACATTGACTAAATCTGGCTCCCTAGGATGCATCAGACACATGACAATTAAAAAAATAAAAAGGCAGTCCATCCTTACAGCCTCAAAGTTAAGTTAAGAATAATGAAGGTAAACTAGTGAAACAAATAGGCTATTAAATGCTCAGTGTTTTTCCAAGCACTAATACAAACACTCACTAAGATGGCCCACAGGAGGCACAATCAATCACTACAGAAAAACCCAATCCTCAGACTTAAACACAAAGCAGGGCTATTTGGTTTGATTGTATAACAAGATACACCTGTCCCTGTTATTTTGGCCACCCTTTAAATAATAAGTTGCAATTTGTATGATTAAAGTTTTTAATTCATTCTCAAGGAGAAATCCTCTTTGCAGCCAAATGAATATAAGTACGACCAAATTAATATGAGCTATAAAGCATGTGTACCTGTTTTGTTTTAATTATAAGTGAAGTAAACAGGCCCAACAATAAACACATAAGAAACTCTTCAGTAAACCAGAGCTGAACAAAGTAAAGACACACAGCTCCTGACTGAACTGTCAGAGCAGCAGTTAGCTTGTATGGCTAATAATTCAAGTGTCACATTTTTTTCTGGTCTCTTGCAAAACAGTGAAAGCAGTACAAGAGTTGTAGAGAGTTAGAGGCTCACCATGACCAGCGCCAGGATAATAAGAGGAGTGAAAACTTAAAAAAGACGAGTCTTGTTTTCAGAAATATCAGACATGCTAAGTCAACAGAGCCGGAAGTTAACATGGAGCACACACTGTGACCCGGATGTACTCACATACCTCAGTCGTTTAGGTTTTGTTTGCTTTTGTGCCCCCTTGTGGTAAAGTTGTAAACTATCACTTTAGATACATTTAATTTAAATTTTATTAAAATTCTACCTCAACCTAACCTGTATTTTTTACTGTAAATATATTTCGGTTTGCGGAAGCGACACGTATCTCGCGGCAGAATTGTCATATCCGCCGCAGAGTGAACCATAACATCAGTTGGTAACTTAGCAGTGTTCCTACTTCTCGTGTTAAATGTTGGACCAGTTGTAGGATTTCTCCTCGTTTATCAGTGTTTTATTTATGTTTCTGAGGAGATAATGTTATCTCTTAGCTAGACGGAGCATGACTTTATCTCAGATAGGGCGTTTGAAGAGAGTAAACCTAGCAGGACGGGTTAGCTAACAGGTTCCACCGGGCGCAGCCATCTGACAGGCGGCGGTGCTTTAGCTTCATACTCAAATTTGAAACACAGAGGAGGACAACAATGCTGCAGCTGGGAGATGAAGTCACCCTGTACACGGTTGTCTTCGTGGCGGTCTTGCTGGGGACCCGGAGCCCGGTGTGGACAACCGCCCTCACCGCCTCTCTCTACATATTTCTAGCCATGTTCCGGTTCCCCCAGGTGCCGACCAGCCGAGCCCGGCAGGTGCTGCACCCGGACAAGGGCTCTGTGGGCTCAGGCAAGGTGTCGGTGGTGGCTCACCGGGGCGGTGGGCACGACGCACCGGAGAACACGATAGTAGCTATCCGGGAGGTAAGAGCAGGGCTGGGAGCTTTTTTTATCAGTAGTGTATAACGTTAAAGGTCGTATTGCACAACCCACGGTTCCCTCGTCTTGGAGTCAGTGTTTTTTTTGGTTAGATGTCTTAAGCAAGATCTGTGGTGAACACAAGTTTAAGAGACGTCCACGTTTTGTTCTGCGACATAAAATACGCTCGTGGTGAATTTTAAAGCTTTAAATTGTCTCAAAAAAGACGGTTTGTAGCAAGTGGCTAAATGAGACTACAAAAACGTCATCACGCCGAACACGGCTTCACAGACTCGCTGTGGTGGTGACGTTGAATTCATCCGACGGTGGTGTAGTTCGTTTATAACCTGACATTAGCGTTTTACTGCTGGTGATTGTATTTATACTTCGAAAATCAGAAAAGTGGTGTTAATTTGTGAAGATTATCTTGCTGAACATTACGTGTAAGTATCATAAACTTTTTCTTCGCCACGGATTTTATTTTCTGCAATAATCTAAAAATCAATGGGAATAGCTCTTCCCACTGCAGCAGCATATAGTTTGTGACACTTAAAAAACTTAAACATAACATAGCCTCTATTGCCCGACCTACACAGTATTTCTAAGGCCTTCAAAATTGTCTTTTTTGGCAATGTGTGCTGAACAGGGTGATTTGATACCCTCAAGTGGACAGCTACATCATGGAGACACTATTTAATTATGTCTTACATGTCTTTAACATTTCTTCATAGTTCTTGTTACTTACAGGCCAACACACACTAGTACAACATCTCTTCAGTAAGATATATGTGCATATCTATATATGGAAGCCCAGTGCATCTGTATCGTTTTATATATATTTTTTCAGCTTTTCAAGTGAAAATTTTGGCAGATTTCTGCTCATGACCAGAAACAAATCTCCTGAAATACATGGCTTCCACCCCTCTTATTTCTCTGTCCTGCTTTAGGCCAGTAAGAATGGGGCGACAGGCGTCGAGTTGGACCTGGAGTTCTCAGCAGATGGTGTCCCAATACTGATGCACGATGAGACTGTGGACCGGACCACCAACGGGTCGGGACCACTCAGCCAAATGAGAATGTCTGAGTTGGTTAAACTGGACGCAGCTGCTAAACATCGACTCAGGTGAGAAAGAAGGATCTGGGAATGCACATACTTGTACAAGATGGTTTAAGGAGAGGCTGTATGAATGTTAAAAATCCGTCTTTATAAAGCCACTGGTGGTAAGAGAAATGCCAGCTGATTTGCACAATATTTTGTGGGAAAAAAAAGATAAAAGGAAGGGACAATTGAGAAGCAGTCTTTTTGCTAAATGTCTCAAAGATACCAAACTTGTCAAAGCCTTGGAGATGTTGCAGCAGGTAAGACAAGTCATGCATGTTTTCCGGGCTAGATGGGGGTTTCAGATGTTGAATACTCTGGGCTACATTTTAGTGCTTTGTGACTTTTGTGTGGTTGCATTATTCCTGCAGGAGGTCGGAGCACTGTTTTTCCACTGATAGGCTGGTTTTCTGTTTCAAATGTACTTTCTGCAGCACATCTTCCTGGTACAGAATATATTGTTCAGGTACAGCTATTGGTGCTGAGTTAATCATTTTACAGCTTACAGATGGAGATGTTTGATAGTGATAATCTGTGTGTATTAACTTTTGCAAGAAAACACTAACAGGAGAAGTTAAAAATACATTGAACACTACAATTACCTCAGAAACTAGAGAGGCGAGTTGCTTTTAATACAGAGACATGCTGTTAGTAATACATGTGCGAAAATAACCTTCAGGTTTCTAAAAATGTCTTGCGTCAGAGCAAACAAAAAAAGAAAAACAAATGCAAAACAGTCTCTCAAAGGTAAGAAGTTAGGATACAGTCTGTAAAGATGCAAATGCAAACAGCATGTTTGGGACTTTTCCACATCAAGATTGAAACTACAAAGTCTAACAGTGAGTGAAATGCCAACATCACAAGATATTTAACAACACTTTCTATCTATCTATCTATCTATCTATCTATCTATCTATCTAGTTAGACAGTAGTTAAGAGGGATTCTGTTACCCCAGTACACCAAGGTTCCACAGATAATACGTAGCACCCAAGCAAGAAATATTATGACCAAGAAGGTACCAGAATAATAAATTACACATAACTATAAGCTTTATGAATGTCATAGAGACAACTTACCTGATGCCCCTTAGTTGTGTAAAACATGAATGTATTAATTGCTTTGTGTTTTCATAATGTCAAGGTGTACTAGTACCTGGGACAATAATAACAGGAGCAGAGACTTCTTCTATCAGGCTAACTTCACACAATGTTCTGATTGCTCTGATTGGTTGTTTTTGTTTGTATGCGATTGATTCTTGCAAATGCCATTAGAAGCACTAAAAGGAGAAGGGACATGACTTCTTTTTCACAGATTATTTGTCTCATGTACTGCTGTGTGGATGTATTAACAGTTTCAGCAAACATGCCAAAAAGTTACTTTTTATAAACGTTACCAACTCCAGCTTTAAGTGTGACGTTTCGCACATAAACAATGAATTTGTTTGAAAAGCATGATGTATGTGAGCCCACGATCGCACTGAAACTTGGAGAAGAGGAGCATTTTCGGAAAATGCTCCTCTTCTCCAGAATATGGCAATATATTTACTCCACAATATAAGTTTGCACAAGTCTATTAATGTAAAATATTCTCAGGACCGTTTAAGGGATTCTCTGGTTACCAGGAGCTAAGAGTAACACCAAGGCTGTGCAGTCAGACAATGAGACATCCAGGAATCCACTTTAATTCTGATTGATTGTGTAGCACGTCAGGAAGTCTGTTACCAATCAATACTGCTGGTTTATCCAAACAGAAAAGTACCACAAATCAGCTAAATCCAATACAAAGGGAGCTACTGCTGCTAAAAAAGAATTGACACAAGGTAAAATTGTTCTAACCTAATATTACATCCTTCAAACAAAGGTACTTCAAACAAAGAACAAAGGAATTTACGTTTTATTTGGTCAAGCAATTGATGCCAGGAAGCTGCAGGCAGGGCACCTGAACTCAACCCACTATATATATATATATATATAGTCTCATCAAGCCAGTCTCCCTCTCCTTCCTGCTCCTCCTCAGACCGACTCCTCCTCCAGGCCTCCTCTTCACAACAACTAATATATTATACATTTATCATTTAATGACACAGGAGCATGAAGTCTGTACAGATGTTTTACATGTCTGATTTGTATTATAATCACATAGGGGCACTTGCAGTTATTGTATTACCTATCCTTACCTATGACAAGATGTATCCTATCCAAATAGAGTGTCAGAAAAATGCTAAGAGCCTTTATACAGAGACTCATGGACAACATAATCACATGTATTTCCTCATAATCTAGGCAAGGAAAAGTTAGCTGTATCTCTGATCAAAGTCAAAGATACAGTTGGTAACTTTAATTAAAAAAAAATAACCTTTTGTAATATTTGCTGAAACTGTCACTGTGTCCACACAGTAGTACATGAGACATCCTCTTTGTAGTGCCTCTAATGGCATTTGCTATAATGTACTGCTGCTGAAGGAAAACAACCAATCAGAGCCGAGGAGTCTCTAATGCAGCTGTCAATCATGTCAATCACTACTTGTTACCTGCGGTCAAAGTGTCAAACTAGGCAGCGTTATTCTGTTACTGCATTGCTTATGTCTAGCCTCATTTTTTTTTTTCAGACACAACTTTTAGTGTACTGTTTAGATGTAAAATGAGAGTTGGTCCAGCCGGTGGGTGGTGCTTGTACTGTTTTCAACATGGCAGCCAGGTCACAAACATTTTACAGCTAAACAGTACACTAAAATATGATTGACATGATTGAAAGCTACGTCAGAGTCTCCTTGGCTCTGATTGGTTGTTTTTGTTTGCATGCGGTGGATTCTTGCAAATGCCATGAGAAGCACTACATGACATGACTTGTTTTCCACAGATTATTTGTCTCATGTACTGCTGTGTGTAGACAGTGAATTTGTTTGAAAAGCATGATGCACGTGAACCTCAGATCGCACTGAAACATTTGTGTCCTTTGTCATCAGGGACAAGTTTGCTGGAGAGAAGATCCCAACTCTGGAGGAGGCGGTGGAGGAATGCATCAAACTGCAGCTCACCATCTACTTTGACGTCAAAGGTCATCCGGATGAGGTGCGGCAGACAAAACTAAAACAAAACGAGCTTATTACGTGGAATCTGTCTGTCATGCTTGTTGACTT